GGCATGGTAAAGTGGAACCCCCTCTTCCATGTCCCCCCGCCTCTGCCCTTCTGCTTCCCTGACTCTGTTGACCAGCACCTCCGTCCAGTGATCAAGGTTCACAATGCCCGCCAGCACATGGACCGTACTGGACCGCAATGGATCCAGCCATTTTTGATACCCTCCTTCAGCTGCTTCACCAGTGCCTGCACCTTTGGTGAAAGTGGCTTGCCGAAACCGGGAACATTGATCACCTGGAACTTCTCCATTTCATTCTCAAGCTCCTTCACTGCAGGGATCACCTGGCTAAGGAGGGCATCAACAGTGCTGAGGCTCTTGGTGGCCACACCCTCCCAGCCTCCCTCACACCCACACCCTGCCCTCCTGAGCTCCACGCTCCAGCCATCCCCCGGGCACAGACTCTAAGCTGCAGCCTGTCCTGGCCCCACACTCTGCATTCCTGCTCAGCTGCAGCCACCTCCCGTTCCTGCCACTTCCCTTCCTGGTGCCTGGAGTCCTTGAATCTCAACAATGACTAGGAAAGAGGGTACCTACAGAAATAATGCACTGAATTAGCTTTGGTCACCATACAGCCTCTGTTGATGGGGTTTGTGAAGAGCAGCTTATGGTTTCCCTCTGCCAGCAGACCTTCAGAGAACAAACTGCATACTCTCCTCCAGATCCTACCCCCCTCTGACTTGTACAAAATACAGATCACTGTACTGACAGAGCTACCACCTAATATGCTTCCCTTGGTGCTGTAGGAAGGTACATTGTGTTCCAACAGGCGTGACAATAGAGATGGGTGTTCAATAGAAGTTTCTATTTAAAACATCATCCTCTTATTGTACGTAACAGTGGATGGTTTTCCTGCAAAAATCACCTATAGTAAGTCACTGTTATGTCAATTCCTTATATAGCTGCATAAAAGTTTCTTTGTGGGGTTTTTTTAAAAGAGATTAGTAGGAGTCTAATAAATAATAGGACATAATAATGATCAGCCCAGCACCTTCTTGACCCCTACTAACTAATTCTACCCAGTACAGGGTTGTCCCCTTTTAGAATATTTTCCCAGCATTCCTTTCTCAGGCTGGCCTTTTAAATTTAAGAGAGTTAAGTCACTGCAGCCCCTAAGTAACCATGTTGCAATTAAAAGCTTCTGGAGACATGTGTCGCTTCCAGTTGGCAAGCACTTGTTATGCCTGTTTTTATTCTTCAAGAATGATTTTTAAATACAATTTCATTACTTTATAGTATATTTTTAGAATACAGTTACAGAGGAGCTGGTACTAATCCCAGAGTTAAGATTGTGCTGCATTTGCAGTTAAACTGCAAGAGAAATCATTTGATATCTTTAATCTAAGGCTGAATTGTTATGGAATATGTACTAAAATGTAGGTGTGTAAGAACTCATTAAATCATAATGGTGAGAAGTAGCAAAAACCTACTATGCCTGGAAAAAAATCAACTGAAATGAATTATCAGAGGGATGAATTTGAGTTCCTTGACCATATTCAGTTCTCATTTCCCACAGCATAAATTAGCTAAGTGTAGTTACTGTTGTGCAAATGGAAACCCAGTGTGGCTCAACTAATATTTCTTTTAAAAAGAATGAAACCCAACCTTCTTGCAGACCAGGTTGGAGATGAGTTCTGACCTGATTGTGGCTGGACACAAAAGAGGTGCATATTGTAATTGGGCCCCATTTCCTCTATTTTCAGTTTTCTATCTGTCTAACCCACATTTTACCATACCTTGCTACCTAAATTCAAAAGGAAATGTTCTGCTTATGGAGGCCAAACAGTGTTACAGAGGAAACCAAAGGTACACTTGCAATTGGGCCCTTGAGGATTGCTGTATGCTCTCATTCTTGTAGCCAAGGGCAAGTAGAATTCTTTACAGAAGAGTCCCCAGAAAAAGGATTTTCAATATTTCTTTCTGGAGATGGCAAGCAACCTCCTGAGTATTTCCAAAAGGTTTTTTAATTGAAAGCATTTCTGTAGCAGTTCTGCAAATACCACAGTGCCAAAACCCAAGGTGTCCTAGAATCAAGAATGAGCAACATGCTTGTTAACAAAATGATAAATAGTGCTGTAGTCAATCTCATTTTGAAGCAAGATAGGATTTCTGTGGACAAATACTACATGTTCAGTGTTCCACCGTGGAGTAGTATCCAAAAACCAAGCCAGATTTGTGCTTCCGTGACTTTTACTAAAAAAAAGTCATTAGTATTATTATTAACATCTTAAGACGAGAGGTGACCAACCTGAGGTACAGATGCCACAAGTGCAACATGCAGCCTGGCATAGATGGCAGGTCAGAGAGGGGACAGGAAGCACCCTGGCAGATAGGGCAAGAGAAGGGGATCAGAGTGGCACTTAAGGAGGGTGCAGGGCTAATTTGACCCACCTGCCAAAACGATTAGCCCCCCATTGTCTTAGACAAAATTCAGAAGATCTTTTAAACTAATGATCTGACTGCTCTAAAACTTTGGTTGTTTATTGCTGTTATTTGGACATTGTGAAGAACAGTATGATGGAATTTGCCGAATCATTCCTCTGTGTATCCCACACTTCCAACTGCTAAAACTTTCTGATTTATCTTAAATGTTATGATAATCGTTACTGTAGAAAACATAATGTAATACTTAGAGCAAGGTCAAAATACATGTTATTACTGGGAAGGGATTTAAAAGGAGTTTATCAGGATGAACAACGCAAGAGAGAATGTAAGAACTGAGAATGGTTTAACTTCAAGGTGGGTACAGGGTGAGCTATTGGTAGAGAATGCCAAAGGGGGAGGAAAGCACTGATAAACAACTCTTAGAGCCACTTACGTGGTATATGCTAAGGGTCACCTGTGCAAGAGATCTGCAGTCAGAAGCAATGTGCTAAACTTGGGCTAAATCACCCTGGATCTTGCCTATAATAACAACTGAAATAAACGGCACACGTTGAGGACTGCTGCAGAAGAAACGGGATGAGTGATTTGCTAGTTGACATGCCAAACTCATTTCTTGAATAAGTCAGAGAGAAAAAAAAATGCCTTATAGAGGTGATTCTCAACCAGACTGTCAGGGCTAGGGTTCCTTGAGGTCCCTTCAAGGGTGACATATGTCTGCACATCTAACCACAATTCACACGATACATGCAGAGATTTCAAATAGGAATCAGCAGTGTTAAAAACACTCTGACCTGCTGCTGTTTTCCTGAGTTCTTTGCAACAGAAGAATTGCTCTATATTTTCTTTCTGTATTCAAAAACTGAGTGAATGATAAGAGCTGACATTTTCCATGAGGTGCCTTGAGTCTATCCACGGGTACCTTGCATCTAAAAAGGCTGAGAACCACTTATATAAAGAATGTTGAATGAACAGAAAGGCAATGAGGGGTTTGTCTCTTTAACTTGAAGCATTCTTTGACACTGGGTTAAGATGGCTTCAGATGAATTAATATATGCTACAGCTGATATTTTTTGTTTATAATCTTATTCCATTAGTTATTTTGTCTAATACATAGTGCTACGTGCGCAAAAAAAAAGAGAGGACAGTGATATTTTATAGGCTTGCAATAAACAAAACTAATCTCTTGCCAATAGTGCAGAAAAGCTATGATTAAAAGAAGTGCCATTATCAACAAGTCAGCTATGGCAAAGATTTTGTTCCAAGTGAAGACAAGAAGCATGAGTCTCTAAGCGTTAACCATATACGTTTTATACAGTAGCATCTTATCACTGGTGTTTTTAAAGGGTTAATCAAAGTAGTACAGCAAATAACACTTGAAAGTGCTCCCAGGTGTTTTTGTTCTGTATCAACAAATCCTTTATGTTCAGCACAGGAAGGATATACAAACTTCTGCTGTAAAAGTTACGCTCTACTTACTACACGTGAATATAGGATCAGACTTTACCATCCCCATGCCTTAAAATGGAATTTGTTAAGGGGTGGCAAAGAGGGAAGATGACTTGTTTGGTCTGCACATTTTCTTGGTAACATATGTAATGCTACAGAAACATGTCCATAAACTGGATCCTCAAATATGCAGATGCAGGTGCATCATTCAGTGCACCTGCGCTGTGGCCATAAGGAATTCTGATGTAATTTTTGCCTCACTTCCCAATCCTGAGGACAGTAGGAACTAAATTCAGTAATTCTCAACCAGGTGTCACAACATCCTTTTAAGGGAGCCACGGAATGCCACTCAATAGCAGCAGCACTGTCAAGTATACAAACACCTGCATGTGATTCAAGAGATAAACCTAGAGATTTCAAATAGTAATCTGTAATCTCAAAAACACTTTGATTTGGTGTGGTCTTTTTGAGGCCTTTGCAACAAAAGAACTGCTCTGCTGTTTTTCCATAGTCAAAACCTGAGTAAAAGCTATGAGCTGGCATGTTTCAAGAGGTGCCTTAAGTCTAAAAAAGTTGAAAACTAATGAACTAATTAAACCCTTGGTATAAACACAGCGGCCAAAACCCTGCTCTAATAAACCTGGAAAAATAACCCCAAAGGCTCATTGCACTGTCTTTTATTGCCAAAGAACACTGTAATGCAAAGCTGGCTACACTGATGAGCTGGGAATCGCTAACTGATTGCTTGTGCTCCCTTTGTGCCAGTGTAGCCGCTAAAGTTCATGGAATAGGTCTGGGTGTTTGGCCCTCTGAACACAGCTTTTAAATTGTATTAGCTTACTGCCATTTGTTTCCCCTCATGTATGAAGAGAAACAACTCTTCAGTATAGGAAATAGGATACAGATGTGATTATGACAAAAACAGAGATTACCAAATGTACTAAACTAGGGTGATCTGACTGCTGTCATCATAAATGAATAAGGAACATTAATATATCATACAGGGAAAAAATATGTAAATTATTAGGAGCTGGCCAGGGATAGCAGCCAAATGCATCCCAGTGTTGTTCATTATTGATTCCAAATGGCCGGGCAAAACAACATAACTTCCCAATTACATTTTAAGGAAGAGATTATGCCATAATTCACAAAAAAATCCAGCCAATTGAATCTTCTGAAAATACAGATTTATTTTTTAAATTTTTACATTTCCAATGCCATTCAACTTATTTTAATATTTGACCCATAGGCAGGTGTCAGTTGCACAGAAAAGATAATATGAAATCTGTAACTGCCTTGTCTGCTCAGCAACAGTACAAAATACAAATTGGACATTAGGAACAAAACATGACTGGGAAGAAATGAAAAGTGATGTTTGCACTAACATTATTTCTAGGTTGGTTTTTACTGATTGCCCCATTACATGATCCTGACTCCCTCAATACTCCTGTGCTGTCTGCAGCAGATTTGCTAGAGCATGGATTGCAGCACAGGGCTTTTGTTTGTGAACAGCTACTGCACTACCAAGAATGCTAATTTACTACAACAGTAACCTCCCTCAGGAAAGACACTTCTCTCTTCAGAGGCAATGAAGAGGCAAAAAGCCACATGTTCACAAATGATTGCATAAGGTACACTGAACTCTAGAATTCTATATGCTTAGTCAATACGGACGATCTAGCCACCAGTCACACTCATCCCATGACGCAATACACACACACACAGTGTTCCCCTTCCTGTAGCGGGTTGTCTGACCATCCATGTATTTGGCCTCTAAGTAGCCCTTGCTGACCCCAGGTTACACATGAATCCTGAAATTATTTCAACACCTTCACAGTATTTGCATTTTCCTGTACATGTCTGAAGTAATGTGTGTACAGATTTGTACAAATACACAATAATACTTTCTGGCTTCTTCCAGTAGAATCAAACTTTACATTTCAATCTCACATCAGGAATCTTTCTTGCCCTTACCAAGCTCAGGTGAAAAAAAAGGATTGGAACATCTAAGGTAAGGAAATAAGTGATTCCTCAGGATTCCACAGCTGTCACAAGGAATGTAGCCTCTCTTGGTGGAGCTTGAGTGTTGCTGTCATAATTGCAAGCAACATTTAGATCTCCAGCTGTCATTAGGCTTGTTGCCGCCAGAGGACAGAGCCCCAAACAGCAAGTCTTTCTAAGCTGTACACACAGGCCGTGAATGATTTGTGTGACTTGTGCTGGAGCTCAGCTGTAGGCAAGGCTTTACTGCTCACCATGACTTGTGCTTCAGTTCCACGGCCTGAAGAGGAGATGCCGAAAAAGAACATAAAATAAGAAAAAAGACAGGACAAATTAAAAACCACTGCAGCATAAGTGCACTTAGATCACACCATTAAACGTGTGCTGGAGGGACAAACATAAAAAGTTCTGTTATTGTATTGCTGGGTAGTGCTGAGGCAGCACACCCCATTCACTGGGGATCTTTCCTGATGAGCAGGAAGGGCATTGGCAGAATGCCACCCAGACCTCAGCTCAGGCTTGGCATACAAAGCAAAATTGTAACACGGCAGACCTGTGTGCAAACTGTCAGAAGAAAAATCCTAAGCATATCTAAAGGAAAGACAACAGAATGAAGATTGAAACACTAAATATCTGATTTTGCATGCAACCAAAAACATGCTCTCTCTTACCTTTTGATTTAATCTACATTCATCTTCTGCTCAGACCCTAGTTTTGCATAACTCAGGGGTAAGTTTAGACCCACAACTGGACCTACAATGCTCAGCCATGAAGAAATGTAGTTCATATACCTAACAGACAAAAAAAAGCATGCATGCATTACAAGAAGTTTCACTGAAGTTCAGATGTATGCCTGCAAGTCATCCTACATGTGGGTGCTTTCTTAACAATTAAATTACTTTTGCACTTTTTAATATACAGCAATTAAGTGAAAATACAAAGCTTTTTCTACATACATACAGAACAGAAGCAGATGGGTTCTCAGTTGTTGGCCTGACCTTGCAACGGTACATGGTTGGTTTGCTCTATATATAGTAAAGAGCTACAGACTTAAAAATTTTGCTGGTGTTCCTCACCTGTTTTCTTTTTGTGAGAGTGCCAATACAGAAGCCATGAAGTCATTCGTTCGGCAGGGATGAAGAACAAAGAATGGCTGACCAAGTAATGGGTGCTCCTGAAAGAAGCAGGAAGTAGTTTTTTAAACCAACAGTTGTCCGAAAAGATGCAATGTAGTATTCCAAAAACAACTGGGGTCAACTCAACGCTGGTGTAACTCCACTCACTTCTGTGTAGTTACAAAAGGAATGAATTTGACTACTTTGTCATCTGAGCTAGTAATTAACTCGCATTTAACCAATCAATTCTTGCGCATAGAATTTCTTATTCTGAAAGAGAAATAAGTATATTAACTAGGCTATCCTATTGTTTTAATTATGATGTAAAGGCTTCTAAAAAACAGCTCAACACTTTAACAGCAGCAGAGGAAGTTACCAGCTGAAAACAAGTAGGCACAGTTGTCCTGTAATGTTTTTTTGGTGCAACGTAATGCATGAACCAAGGAGCTTCCACTGAGAAGCTCCTTAATAACCTCTGTCCCTGTTCTTTGGGGCTCAACAAGAAAAAGCTGGGAAGCAAAGGCAACTTTAGCTGGTGCCAACTTAGAAGCCTAAGTTCTGCTTCAGCTTCCTCTAGCTCAGAGATGTCCAACCTTTTTGAATGTGGGGCTGGATCATGAACTTTTTATCACCCAGTGGGCCAGCAAGCCATATTCATATTTTATCACTCCGCGGGCCATATGTTGGACGAGTCTGAAATAAGGCAAAGCTGGCATAAACCCCCACATGTGCTCAGCTAGTGACAAACTGCAGCAAATTATGTCCTGGACCAGCCATCCCAACAGCTGGGGCCCCCCTTCTGCCTACTACGACCACCATTTGAAGGCAACCCCAGAGGATATTTGACAGTTGAGTTAAAATATGTGACCAAACTGATGTAGCCAGTGCTCTCAAGCAGGCCAAGTGGCCACCTATGCCACTGCTTCCCCAGGCCTTGCCCACACCAGGCACACCGCCCAGCCAATGCCTGCGACTGGGGCTGGCGGCACTGCGGGAGCAAAGCCAGTTCCCAGCCTGGCAGGGTCTCAGGCCTGGTCTGCCCAGGGTGGCTCCTGGCAGGGGAAGGCCTCAGGGGAACATGGGTCACTCCGCTCCTCCGCACTTCCCTGCAGTGAAAGCAAACAACCCCTGGGAGGGTGCAGGCAGCCACTGTGGCAGGAGAGCGGTGCCCAGCCCCGCCACAGGGAGTGACAATCCCCCCTCCCCCACCCGGGCCACCCCCAAGCAGCGCAGCCCACGAGCTGGCGCTGCCCAAGGGGGGCTGGAGCAAGGCAGCCGCTGCACCGCAGCCCCTTGCCCGCCCGTCTGCATGGCCCCACTCATCATGGTGCCCGACCACCCGTGCACGCAGCCCTGGCGGCCTCAGTGCTGTGAGCCCGGAGTGTGGGGCCCGGCAGACACCAGCTCCCGCCGCCTTGTCCCGCAGAGGTCATGCCAGGACCCCGCCTGCCGAGGCCCCCCCTGGGCTGCCCTGCCGACTACCTGCTCCGGGCGCTGTGCCCTGTTCCTGCCCCACCCCACGGCTGCCGAACCTGGTGGGTCCCAGGACTTGGGCGGGACGCTGGGGGCAAGGGGACGAGCCAGAGACAAGTAAAAGCAGGCGTTGCCCCCAGCTCATCCTGTCAGGCATGGCCGGGACAGCCCCACGCCGTGCAGCCCTCGGGGCAGCAGAGGGACCCAGCTTACGTGACATGGGAGGTCACGGGAGCCGGCCCCGAGGGGGTGAGCAGCTCCCCCCCCCATCCACTTGTCCTGAGCGAGGGACCTCAGGCCTCAGAAAATGGCTTGTCGGGCCGCATGGCGGCCCACAGGCCATATGTTGCACTAGCCTGCTCTAGCTGGTAAATGCCCCAAGCTCCAGTCTACACGAATTGAGGAAAGCCATTATCCCAGTCCACTCACCAGACACAGTTAAGAAAATGCAGAGGGTTGAAGGTTTCCACAAAGAGCAAGGCTTAAATAACATCACCCCAGCAAACAAAAACTACCTTCAGTGACAAATAAGATTGCAGATGGACACACTTCATACCCAGGGCATTAAAAAGAGGGGAGTACAGTGAAGGAAAAGACTGGTACATTCCCTTCCACCTTTATATCGCCAAGAACACTGCTAAAGACACAGTCCAATACTTCATAAATTTTCCACTTTCATGTCCAGATATTCAAAAGCAATACATGTCCAAACTGAATTAGGCTGCACTTCAATGCAAAGCCTTAACAATGATTTCATGCATTCTCATATCAATTATGCCCACAGATCAGCACATTGGACTAGTACATGTTTTGCACATTTGAGAAGCTTGCTCAGGTCACTGTTAAGTACTGCTGTATCAGAATAAACAGATCTCACTTCATCTCCATGCTCTAGAAGTAGTATAAGTCTTTAATATGGCACAATAAAGAACAGTTGGAGAGTGAGACTAGCAAAATAAAATATCAAAATAAGAAGCCACAGTACACTTCATGCTTTCCAAAAAATCTACATTTAGTTTTAGACAACATGGAGTAAAATGCTCAGCTAAGGCACATGCAAGACGAGTCAGGAGGATGAGGAAGCAGGGATGTGTGCCTGCACATAAAGGCAGCATACATTCTTCCAGTCCTAGTTCTGTTTTGTGTGGGATCAATCCACCCCGTTGCATGAGTTTACTAATAGTCCTAGTAGACTGAAATTGCACCTGAGGATTTAACAGAGACATCCTGGCCTCAGGCTTTCTCCCTGGAAATGCTTCCCATGCATTTCCAGGAAGCAACACTCAGAAGCCAAAAGCTGCTCGCTGACTGTATGCCGTCTTAGATGCAATGTACCTGGGCCAGATTCCGGAAGTCCTGTGGCTGTATTTTATTGAAAGATCTGGCTGTTTGCCTATACTCACTAGAAAATGCCCGTAACTCAGTCTCTGACATGTAATAAAAACTCATGCATCCTCAGCATAAAAAAGGGCAAAATTGTAGCCCTATTCTTTCCATTGCCTTCACTGAGAGCAGGATTGGGCCTACTGCATTTAAAATGCTAGAATAATATTTGAGGCCTCTCAGAGATGCAGGACACTTTGTTCTGGTGCTAAAAATGTATGGGTGAGGCTAGCCAGCATTGTTGTTAACATCACACTTAGAAGCTTAAAACCATCAAAATATTTCAGACTCCTTTGTTTTACATTTCCAGAGCAAACTGTTAATTCATGCAAGAATGCTACCATCTGCTGTCCACGAGAGTGAACTGATGCCACTCTACAGTGAACAAAAAAAGCAACACTATGAATTACAGTAAATATATCTTCCAATCAGCTACTAATCTAAATGAATCCTACATTTCTAAATATTTCTAGAAAAGAGAGATTTCAGGGCAATGGTAAACAAAGAAAAATAACTAGGTTCAGTTAACTAGTAATTTAAAAAAGTACAGTAAACAAGCTATTAGCACCAGCAGCCTTAAAAGGTGGTGAACGAACAGTATAAAGAAATAACACATTTGTTCCCAATATTAACAATGATGCATCCTTTTTTATTCTTTTTGCTCAACACATTGAACACAAAAGCAATTGCACAAGCTGGATATTCATACAGATTTACTCCTCAGTATTTTGTGGTTCAATATTTTGCCTGGTCCTTGAAGCCTGAGTTGGGCAAAACACATTTATGCCTGACACAGGAATTCAAAGTCAAGCTTTTTTTGGTAACAGCTTATTAACTCACTAGTCTACATCTCGCCCTTCTAGCGACTCCTTTTGTTGCAACTTTCTTCAAAGAAAAACTGACCAAGAGAAGGGTGAATCCAGCCCACCACTACTCAGGCAGCATTTCTACCAGGGTTTCTACCAGGGTAGTAACCTTGGTCCCTCTATCTTTCATATCAGACTGTTGCTCTTAGGTGCGTGATAAATGTGAAGCCAGTCTCTTCTACCTGTGCAATGGTGTAGAAGAGGGGTGTTGCTCAACCCTCATCCTAGTGTGTGGGCTGGATCCAATCCACAGAGCCATGTCATCTGGCCTGCAGGGCTCTCTAAGGGTTTGGAAATCTGGCAGCAAGGAAGCAGTGGAAGCATTAATTGCCTCTCCTGTGGGCAGTCCTGATAACATGGGTCTGTGTGCCAGACAGCACCTGCACATGGCTGGATCCAGACATGCGGAGTCAGGCCAGCATGCTGGATCGCACCCAAGTACTGACCCCAAGTGCTGAACCCACGTAGGATCCTACCTGCTTCACATGTCACTCACGTGAAACCAGAAGGTTGGGAGCCACTGGTGTAGAAGCAGTTTTTCTTTCTCCTGATCTACCTGGTGTTTAAGGGGAGGTTTATGTAGCCTTAGCTACTTACTCAATCCCTCCTCCTCCCATTCCAGTGTTCTCTTTTTTAATAGCTCCACAGCCTGTCTTTGCCGCTTTCTGAGGCAGGGGGAGCATCATGAACGCATGATTGTTGAAAACTTCAGCAGCATCTCAAAAATTCTGAATGGCAAAAATGAGACTAGCAGAGATTTATTTCATGCTGCTGTTGCTTTGCAAAGCTGTGAGTAGGGCAGATGCACTACAGCTGCCTGTCTACACATGCACAATGACAGTGTTCACATTTCGAAGCTTGTCTTCACAAGCTAGTAAGTTTGAATTATTTGTTCAGCTCTAATGCAGGAAACTGGTGTTCATTACTGCTGCTGACTTCAAAGAGATCCTCTACAAACAAGAGCGGCTGAGGATCATGTCAAGCAAAGAGTTTTGTCTAACGAGGAAAATTTAAATATATTTGCTCATGTGCATGTTTGCACCTACCTCTAAGTAACAGACAATCTACTGTTCTGCAACTCAGAATTTTTCAAAGCTGAAAAATCAGGGATATACACCATAAAGTGGGAACTGCATATCTTGTGGGAAAGCCAAAGGCAAAGAAAAGCAGAAGAGATGGTTAGCCAAAGTATGTCAAGGAACAGAAGGTACTGATGGGTCAGTAAGGGAGAGAAGTCAAAGTGCCATATTGACGCTAGAATCCTGGTCAAAGCCTGAATTCTAAGTTATATCGATAGTCGCATCCCCACTCGTGCATTAGTCAGCCATTATCACGCT